GCTACAGTCAGTAATGTTAGATACTATTGATAACAATGTGTTACAGTCAGGGATGTTAGATACTATTGATAACAATGTGTTATAGTCAGTAATGTTAGATACAGTTGATAACAATGTGTTATAGTCAGTAATGTTAGATGCAGTTGATAGTGTGTGTTACAGTCAATAACGTTAGATGCAGTTGATAACAATGTGTTACAGTCAGTAATGTTAGATGCAGTTGATAACAATGTGTTACAGTCAGTAATGTTAGATACAGTTGATAACAATGTGTTACAGTCAGGGATGTTAGATACAGTTGATAGTGTGTGTTACAGTCAGTAACGTTAGATACTATTGATAACAATGTGTTACAGTCAGTAATGTTAGATGCAGTTGATGACAATGTGTTACAGTCAGTAATGTTAGATACAGCTGATAACAATGTGCTATAGGCAGGGATGTTAGATAAAGATGGTTACGATAGCTAATGTTTGATAGGAGTTATGATACGGTGTTACGGTTTAATATAAGCTTGATTACGATATATTATGGTCAGAATTTCTAGATAGCTCCTAACACCGCTGTCACTACAGTTAGGAGCTTTAGATAAAAATTGATTTGGATATGTTATGGTCAGTGGATGTAGATAAGATTTATTTGGATGTGTTATGGTCAGTGGGTGTAGATAAGATTGATTTGGATGTGTTATGGTCAGTGGGTGTAGATAAGATTGATTTGGATGTGTTATGGTCAGTGGGTGTAGATAAGATTGATTTGGATGTATTATGGTCAGTGGGTGTAGATAAGATTTATTTGGATGTGTTATGGTCAGTGGTTTTAGGTAAGATTGATTTGGACGTATTATGGTTAGTGGTTTTAGGTAAGATTGATTTGGACGTGTTATGGTCACTGGTTTTAGGTACGGTTGATTTGGATGTGTTATGGTCAGTAGTTTTAGATAATGTTGATTAAGATTTAGTTAGGCTAAGTGCAAATGTTTGAATTCATTCCCAGTGTCATGCGTTTGCGAGATTTTACTTGCACTTCAGAATCAGACCTGGTAAAGAGTTTGTTCCATTCATGTAAACACAACAATTGTTTTTGACATTTCGCGTGTCTTTATTATATTTTCTTGACATTGAAACAAAATACCGAAAACTTTAGCTTCAAATCACCAAAAATAGAAAGGTTATAACTTGAAGATAAAATATGTCTGGTGGGTATACAGATATTCTATGAAATTTCACTAATCGAACTACTGGACAAAGGTCACTTGAAATGAAAATTCTGTCTAACGAGCCATTACCTATAAATCACTTTTTAAAACACTGCCTTGTGGAATCCGTGACCTTCTTTTTACCACAAGTATGGTAGCATTTATAGTATGAATAGGGCGGATACACAATACATGCAATACAAGCTATTTACACACATATACCTTTAACAACTAAATGATAAATCTCCTAAAGTATTTGAGAGACACCCTTGGTTGATAAAAAACACATAAAAAATTATAAGTTATAAAAACACTTGAGAAAGTCAGTAAAGCAGATACAAAAATTTACAAAACCACAAATTTCTCATTCTCACTAACTGATATTGTTGATAGCTTCTAGCTGTGTAACAAACAGACTTACTATAGTTATAAGTGTACCAAATAGAACAATAGCACAGGGACCATGTGTTAGTGCTAGCGGGAAGTAGTTAATAAAATTAATTAACCAATTTATCAATCCTTAGCATATACACATAACCACAACTCACACTACATCATCCAAATGACATTACACACAAAGAGTGTGTGACATCACATATATACTCTCAATGTGTACACACACCAAGAGAATGCACAACACACACACACACAAATACCATTAATTTCACATACCATAATGTTATATTGCACACCCACACTGATGATATACATACAGGATATCAACCCAAATGAATGAATGGTGCACAATATCATGTCACCTTGTATGAAAAAATTCATAGACAAGTGGGAAGAATATTTTTAAAGAAATTAAAAGTGTATGAATGAGTGTACCAAAAAGTGAGGAAACAAGGTAGGAATGGGCGTGGTGTAATAAAAATTCCTCTGTACAACCTCAGAAGGGGGCGTGTCCAACATCTGGTCCATGTCTACTTCGTTTTTATATGTTCGTGATATCACCCAACTTATAGTTATATACAAAAGCGTATCTATGAATCTTTTACTTTTGTATAGATAGCAACGAATCCATGACATCAATGTAGAGAAACCTCTCAGGATATCTTTCATTTGTATTTCAATTCACCTATATAGCTAATGTGCGAAATCCTGTTACTTTATGACGCAATTGCAAAAGGAGGGACAAGTTGTAAAGAAACAAAAACATACAAGTTATAGGTCCACAAGAATATCTGATTCTCCTGGTGTCGTATAAACACACTTTACAGTACATGTATTGTCTCCAATAATTCGATTCACAGAAACATCTAGTCGTTGCATGATAAGCATAACTAAGTTTGATAAGTTTAGTCCACCTGTATACAGGATAGAAAAAATAAACGAAGTAGTTATGGACCGGATGTTGGACAAGCCACCTTGTGAGATTGTACAGAGGAAGTTTTATTACAACACGCCCATTCCTACCTTGTTTCCTTACATTTTGGTGCACCCATTCCTAAACTTTAATTTTGTTAAATATTTTTCCACTTGTTGATGTCACTTATATAGGACTCATAAACAACGAATCTGTATAATATTTTTAGAAGGGGATTTCGATATAAATTTCTGACAGTTTTAGTTCTTTAGCAGCACATTGGGGACACGTTCCCCCACATTTTTTTTTCGACGGCAGTTTAATGCACCCTTCATATTCAAAGCTGCTTCCGTCGTTTATGGCTATTATAGTTTAATACTTTTATCTACTGGACTATGGACTGTAGTGTAGCAACTGAGGAAGATATAGAACTCCCCACAATCAACATTTAGTTTAATATTCAGCCAACTCCTCTGAAACAAGAATTTTCTGTGCATCCAAAACTTCTAATTAAGACCCTTTTTTGTGTGTGTTTTCGTCTTATTACATGCAAGAGAAATCTAGATAAATGTACAATTGGTATTTTCAAACTTTATCAGGTTTGTGTCCGCGCCATTACATGCAAAACCCTAAATTATATAGAGTTATAAACCCAGTTTAAAATGTATTTTCTCGCCGCTAGGTGTGCTACTATACACCAAGATGTATTAGAGAATAAGAGGAATGTTTTATTTAGTATTGGTATTGGGCGAAAGGCCTTTTCGACACTGGATGTAGCACGTGCAGTATGACTGACATCTTATTACATTGTCTTCGTTATTTTCACTTGTACGTTCTCAGAATTAGCATTGTTATAAATACCTGAGAAAAGCCTAATGAGACAAATTAAGAATTTAACCATTCTATCTCACCTTAGAAATTAGTGAAGACAATGACAGTATATGTCTTGACCTTACAAATCTAAGTTGTTTTTTCTTAACAGGAAAATTGTGGACGGCCCCTGAACTTCTACGCATGAACACTCCACCTCCTGAAGGCACACAAAAGGGCGATGTGTATTCATTCGCCATCATAGCTCACCAGATAGTGGTGAGACAAGGGCCTTTTTACGTCGGGGTTTCGGATGTCACTCCTAAAGGTTGGTTAAGAAATCAAAACATCGACGCGTTATGTTTTGATGTTGATTAAAGCCTGAAGTGCCTAAGTCTTGAAATTAATTTGGAAAGATATCTTGATTCACGTTATGATTTTAATTTTCCAAATAGGAACTATGTTGTTGTATATATTTTACTGGCAAAGTATTTCCTGATATAACAGTTTAAGAGTTGGTGGTGAAATTAAAGAGTATACAATACATTTGGAATGATTTAAGTCACGTTTTGTTTCATTTGGCCTGACATGACCTGGTGGTTAGAGCGATCTGTACCTTGACCATTCCTGACATGACCTGGTGGTTAGGGCGATCTTTACCTTGACCATTCCTGACATGACCTGGTGGTTAGGGCGATCTGTACCTTGACAATTCCTGACATGACCTGGTGGTTAGGGCGATCTGTACCTTGACCATTCCTGACATGACCTGGTGGGTAGGGCGATCTGTACCTTGACCATTCCTGACATGGCCTGGTGGTTAGGGCGATCTGTACCTTGACCATTCTTGACATGACCTGGTGGTTAGGGCGATCTGTACCTTGACCATTCCTGACATGACCTGGTGGTTAGGGCGATCTGTACCTTGACCATTCCTGACATGACCTGGTGGTTAGGGCGATCTGTACCTTGACCATTCCTGACATGACCTGGTGGTTCGGGGGCTCAACTCGTAATCTGCGAGTCGCAGGATTGAAATACGTTACTGAAAATGTTCGTCCTTTCAGCTTTTGGAGCATTATAATGTTACGGTCAATCCCACTATTCGTTGATAAAGAGTAGCCCAAGAGTTAACAATGAGTGGCGTCGACTTTGGATCATCTCTTCAAAATTAGGAAAGGCTGGCGCAGGTAGCCCTCGATTAGCTTTGTACGAAGTTCAACAAACAAACAAACAAAATTTTGTAAAAGCGTTATGTGAAACTCTCGTGCCTTGTGGGAAATGAAAGAGTTACGACATACTGCCATCTACTGACTACATTTGGCGATACACTCAGGAATTGAGCTTTCAAACACATTTGTGGGACACGTATGTCCAGCAGGTGGCGGAAGAGTTAAACACCAGTACTTGTAATGTCTCCCGATTGTGTAACTTTCGAGTACAGAAAACTGATACCTTTGCACATTTTTATCCCTACACTATTATACTTAGAATTACCAATTACAGAAATTATAGACGCGGGTTACCTGTTTGTTTTCACAGAAACTAAAAATCAAACGAATTATTTAAGAAAAATACTGATTAACAAAAAAACAAAAAAAAACTGGCTTTTCTCACCGTTAGGTGTTTTATTACACACCAGGACACAACAAAGAACAAGTAGCGTACAATCAATTTTATTGAATACTAGCTGGAGTTATCTTAGGACATGAAAAGTTGCTTCCCTTATGTAAAAAAAAATAAAAAATAAAACGCCTATAAAAACTGCAAAACACAAGATGTGAGATCCATCTAGACTCTGCGAAGTTTTTTTTTTATTTTTTTTTACATAAGGGAAGCAACTTTTCATGTCCTAAGATAACTCCAGCTAGTATTCAATAAAATTGATTGTACGCTACTTGTTCTTTGT